TTGCCTGCTCATAGTTGTTAACATCAGTTGTTAACTGATGATGCCATAGTTGTTAACTATTGGCATCAGTTAAATGCCAATAGGAATCTCCAATTTGGGCTGTGGTTAGAAGGAAACTTTATTCAGAGAAAAACAGCTCAATTGTGACACATCAGAGCTGTATCCTAAAGCGAGATCCCTGTCCAAGTAGACAGCTTTGCTCTTCTCCTTGCTGTTCTACTCTGCTCTGCTCTTTATTGGTCTGTTTTACTTTGCTCTGGTGGCATATCATCTGTTTTAACTCAGCCAGGAACAGTCTTCATTCAGTCTTAGCACTATCCTGATTGGTGAAAATGGACCTGCTGTGATTGGTCTGTGAAGATATTGATGGGGGAGAGGGGCTTTAGCTGAGCAGCTCTGATTGGATCGGGAAAGCCTCAGTCCTTTTGGTTGAAATGAGATTCCAGAAACTCCCTTATAAGGGCTGGCTCAGATGGCAGAAACTGCAGGCAGGCAGTTCAGTGCAGACATCTCCATGAAGTGCAGACACCTCTCATGTGTAAGAGGCCCCTGTGTCGAATTGGCTGCTAGGATAAGTTTATTTATTTATTTATTTATTTATTTATTATTTTTATTTTTTTTAAATCTTTATTGTTCAGATTATTAAAGGTGTTCCACCTCCCCCTCCCATAGCTCCCCTCCAACCTGATTCCCCACCCTACCCCATGACTTTCCCCGTTTCCCCTGCTACTGTCTTCATCCATAGGTGTAAGACTTTTGTCTAATCACTTCCCACACTCCTCAGACCCCCTTCCCACTGAGAATTGTCAGTCCACTTCCTTTCTATGTCCCTGATTCCATTATATTCACCAGTCCATTATGTTCTTCAGAGATTTTATTCACTTATTGGTAGGTATGTATTTGATGTCATTTTGTTGTTCATAATTTTTATCTTTACCTTTTTCTTCTTCTTCCTCTTCTTAAAGAATACCCTTCAGCATTTCATGTAATCCTGGTTTGGTGGAGATAAACTCCTTTAGCTTTTTCTTATCTGTGAAGCTCTTTATCTGACCTTCAATTCTGAATGATAGCTTTGCTGGGTAGAGTAATCTTAGTTGTAGGTTCTTGCTGTTCATCACTTTGAATATTTCTTGCCACTCCCTTCTGGCCTGCATAGTTTCTGTTGAGAAATCAGCTGACAGTCCTATGGGCACTCTATTGTAGGTAACTAACTGTTTTTCTCTTGCTGCTTTCAAGATTCTCTCTTTGTCTTTTGCCCTTGGCATTTTAATTATGATGTGTCTTGGTGTGTTCCTCTTTGGATTCCTCTTGTTTGGGGTTCTGTGCACTTCCTGAATTTGTAAGTCTATTTCTTTCACCAAGTAGGGAAAGTTTTTTTGTCATTATTTCTTCTAATAGGTTTTCAATATTTTGCTCTCTCTCTTCTTCTGGCATCCCAAAAATTCAAATGTTGGTATACTTTAAGTTGTCCTAGAGGCTCCTTACATTATCTTCATATTTTTGAATTCTTTTTTTCTTTTTCTTTTTCTGGTTGGGTATTTTTTGTTTCCTCTTATTTCTGATCTTTGGTTTGATTCTTGAGGTACATTGATCTACAGTTGAGTTTTTGTATATTCATTATTTCAGACAGTGTATGCTTAATTTCTGACTGATTCTTTTCCATTTTGGGGCATTCTCATTAAGGTCCTTGAAGGTCTCATCAAGTTTCTTAGTGGTTTTTAGAAGATTCTTGAGTAACCTTATAAATGTGGTTTTGAACTCTGTCGTCCGTAGTTTGCTTTCCTCCATTTCTTTCATTTGTGACATGTTTCTGTGTCTCTGCATTTTGGCTGCTTCCCTGTGTTGATGGAGCGGCTTAGTGTGGTAGGTGACCTATAGGGGCCAGTAGTTCAGCCTCCCCAATAACCTGAGGTGGACGGTCTTGGTATACCCCTTTGTGGGCTGAGTGCAAAGTCTTGGTGTAGTTAAGCCTTGATTGCTGTTGCTACACTGGGAGGAATTGTCTTCCAAACCAATTGGATGTGGGGATCCGCTGTGTTTATAATGGAAGAACTGCTGCGCTGGAGACAGGCTTATGGTGCATGACTTGTTTCAGTGGGACATTGGTGCTCACTGAGTCTGCCTCTTGAATGTGTTATTTAGGGATGTGAGAAGTTTAAATCTGTGTCTCACACTGACCACTAGGTACACTGGCTTCTGGATCTCCAATGGGGTACAGGCCAGCTACTGTCTGAGGTCACCTTGCAGGAGCTACAGCAAGAACTACAGTCCTCTCCTCCCTGCTTGGGATTTGTAGATTATGGAGCTGTCTGAACCAGTTTATAAGTTTGCTAGGTTAAGCAATGATAGTGAAGGCCATTCATATGCAAAAGCTGTTGCTTGGAGCTTGGGTAAGTTTGTAGGTTGTGCAGGGCAGGGTCTCAGGGTGTCACCAGGCTAGAGTGTGGCAAACAGCAATGGCTGGTAGCCAGCAGTCTTGCACCTCTGACCGCGTCCCCACGTCTCTCGCCCCAGCACAGCAAACAATTATTCCTCCGCGCGGCTCTGTAAGCAAGCCACCCTCACTTTCTGACCCAATGGCAGACAGTCCAGATTCTCCCCATAGGAGACTGGGTCTCCCTTTCAGGTTGAAGAAAGCAATACCCACCGCCAGCTGGGATCTGCCACCAGCCCATATCAGGTGTGCCCCTGTACTTCAGCTTTTCTGCGTTTGTGCATTGAATTCTCTTTTCTCTTTTTATCTAGTTGTAGAACTTCCACTAAGCCAGCCCACCCGTGGATCTAGGTGATAGACATTTTGTCTTTTAGTTGTAATTTTGAAATTGTTGTGCACGGCCACAGTTTAGATGCCACCATCTAGGGTTCTCCTAGGGTCTGTATTTTTAGAGTCCAGTTAGCCATTAGGAGCCCTTCTTAATAGGTACTTTCTTTCTCAGGTTCAGGTAATTCTCTCTAATGTATAATCACATCTGACTCAGCTCAATTGTCAGCTCCTGAACACACTATGCTGCTGGTCTAGCAGTGGTCTGCAAACTTATTAGTCACAGAGCCAAATATCAACAGTACAATGATTGAATTTTTTTTTTAGAGCTAATTTTTTAAAACTTCTTCTAATGCCACTTCAAAATAGACTTGCCCAGGCCGTGGTATTTTGTGGAAGAGCCACACTTAAGGAGCCAAAGAGCCTCATGTGGCTCTCGACCCGCAGTTTGCTGACCACAGGTCTAGGCTGTTTATTTCCCCACTTGCACATAAATAAAAGCATGTGTAAGTTAAAAGATTCTGTGTCCTAGTTAACCTATAGACATAAATTATGGTTGGTTTTATTTGCTTCCTTTTTATAGTAGTTGGGAGGATGCGTGGAGATATTCTAATTTAGGCAGTTACCTTTATCCTGTGAAAACCTAACTTTTATTATATAAGTTAATAAAATAAAATAACAAATTTGAAAAAGAATAATAAAAAAATAGTAGTAATGGCTTAATAAAGATTAAGTAGTACCTAATAATTTACAGAAGTAAAAAAAAAAAAAAAAACTAGCAGAATTGAAACAATTCAAGATCTATAAAATGGCAGTGGGAGAAAAAACATCATTGGAAAGGCTTGAAGTAGTTTATAAAAAATGGCCGAGCCCAGCTGGTGTAGCTCAGTAGTTGAGCATTGATTATGCACCAGGAGATCACGGTTCAATTCCTGGTCAGGGCACATCCCCATGTTGTAGGCTCAATCCCTAGTGTGTGGTATGCAGGAGGCAGCCAATCAATGATTCTCATCATTGTTGTTTCTATATCTCTCTCCCTCTCCCTTCCTCTCTAACATAAATAAAAATGTATTTAAAAAATGGGCAGAAACACAAAAATCAGAAAAGATAAAGGTGATACGAATACAGCAGAGAAAATATATGAAAACAAAATGTATGCTAAACTTTGAAAATGTGATAGACTGTCCAATTTTTAAGCAGATATAGATGATCAAAACTGATTCAAAATGAAAAAAAAATCACTAACCATCTTAGAAAAAAAAATACACACATACACACACACACACACACACACACACACACACACTGAGTGGCCAGACTATTATGATCTCTGAGTGCATAATCTGGCTACTCAGTGTATATCCTATATAATAAAAGGCTAATATGCAAATTGTTCCCTCATTCAGGAGTTCAACCAGCAGTCAGGCCAGCCAACCACCCATGTCCCCTCCCCCAGCTAGGCTGGATGGACCCCACCCATGCACAAATTCATGCACCAGGCCTCTAATACACACACACACACACACACACACACACACACACACACGCACACACACTCAGTGGCCAGATTATTATGCGTTCAGAGATCATAATAAACTGGCCACTCAGGGTATATTAAAGAAGTAACTAAGATTAGACATCTTGGAAGGAAATCATGTTTAGAAAGCAATATGGATTTTTTTAATTAAACACATTTTTCATATTTAAATATATATATATATTATTGATTTTGTACAGAGAGGGAGAGGGATAGAGAGTTAGAAACATCAATGAGAGAGAAACATCGATCAGCTGCCTCCTGCACCTCCCCCCCTCCCTCCAATTGGTGATGTGACTGCCACAAAGGTACATGCCCTTGACTGGAATCAAACCTAGGAACCTTCAGTCCAAAGGCCAACACTCTATCTACTGAACCAAACCAGTTAGGGCACAATATGAAATTTTTAAAATTTGACATTTGGAGTCACTGTGTATAATGGTCCAAGTAATAGTGGAATGGAGAAGCAGCAGCACAAGAAAGAGTCTATAGGTATAAATACATATAAGTAAAAGAAAATCACCATGTAAGTAAAAAAAAAAAAAAGTATTGCTGTTGTACATTATCAAATGCTTACAGATGGGGGGAAAATAATGTGTCATCACACCAAATCTTACTGATTTCCATGTTTTCTTTCAGATAGGTAAAAAAGAGTACATCACCTTCCCAGCTCTTATTGATTTTCCTTCACTTCCTTTCCAGGAATAACTGAAATCTCTTTATTACAGATTGAGAGTAAGTATGATGACATCATAAGTATAGATGATTCTGTGAGATAAAGTTAAATAATGTTAATGGGGAATTATTGTACGATGAGTAACAAGTTTCAGTTTGGAATTTTTTTTTTTTAAGTTCCAGAAATGGCCCTAACTGGTTTGGCTCAGTGGATAGAGCATTGGCCTGCGGACTGAAAGGTCCCAGATTTGATTCCGGTCAAGGGAATGTACCTTGGTTGCAGGCACATCCCCAGTGGGAGGTGTGCAGGAGGCAACTGATTGATGTTTCTCTCTCATCAATGTTTCTAATTCTCTACCCCTCTCCCTTCTCTGTACAAAATCAATAAAATATATATATATTTTAAAAGTTCCAGAAATGGATGGTGGTGATGGGGCTGCATAACATTGTAAATGTATTCAATGCCACTGAACTGTACACTAAAAATGGTTAAAATGGTAATTTTATTATGTATATTTTACCAAAAAGTTATTTTAAAATATATAATTTTTATGTTAATTAGAGCATATGTTTAATAACTAAATGATTTTTTATTTAAAAATATAATCTAAAATTTACATTTTTCATGTAAGATTTAAGTATAATAACTTTGGAGCCAAGATAAATTTACCAAAAGAATTAAACCAAGACATATAACTACTAGATCTTTACCTGATTTTACACATATATGTAAATGCAGATGGGACATTCTGTATTCTTCACATATATGTAACACTCTTAGTGAAATAACTCCTCATTGTTTTCCATAGGGGCAAATACTATATTGCAGGGAAAAAAATAAAATTTTGGGTAAAATTTATTCTTATCCTTTAAGCACTTTTAAATTTTACACACTATATTTTAGGAAACGAACTATTTTTTAGCTTTTAGAGATTAATGAATATGGGTTATAATATTTTAGGAGAGAAGATTACCAAACAAATTAAAGAAGTAAAGGAAGAAAGAAAATATCTGGAAACAATAAGAAATGAACTAATATCAAAGCAATATCATGGTAAAGTTAATTACATATCTTTTATCACTATAAAAAATGTAAGTTTTACAGAATTTATGCTTCTTAATACTTTCTATTTTACTTTTATGGTTTAAATTGTACACTTGATATAATTTAATACAGAAAATGAAATCATTGTTCAACTCTTTATGTAGGGTGTTTTTAAATTAAAATTCAAGTATTTTTCATAAGTGACATTCATTTATTTACTCATTCTTCTATTTATTTACTAAATAAGTTGTAAGTACTTACTGAATTTAGATACTGTTAAAGGAGTTGAGGAGATACTAATAGGCATGAACAACTTTGTCCCTGCCCTCAAAGAGCTTATAGTCTGATGGGGAAATGATAATCAAGTTAAGCAGTAATGATACATCCTGATGAATACTATGATAAAGGAACTATAGAACTCTATGCATAGGATTACAGAATAAGAACACCTAAATTAGATGGAAAAGATAAGAACCACTTCCAGGAAAAGATGTTCTAGAATTTAAAATGTGTCTACTCTCAGACATAAGCCTTTATGTTTGTTTTCCCCTCTGCCATCCACATCTGCTTCTCCTACCTTCTTCTTTTCCATTCTTCCCAGTTAAACTGGCTATTTCTTACTAATCATTCAATCTCAATTTAAATATAATTTCAGAATCCTTGATTTCATTAAGTCTCCTCAAGATGCTTAGTTTTCTGATATGTGTATCTGTCTGCTTTGCTAAAGGGAATGAATGAATGAATGAATGAATGAGATAATTAGGTAGGAGAAGTAGGTAGTTTTCTTGCAATAGAAATAGTTGTTAGAACTGATAAAAGTGGAAAAATGAGCCAGGGTGGAGAGAGTATAGGATAATGGTTTGAGATATGTTAAATTATTTTAGAGTCTTGCATTTTGGGTTGTACTTGAGAATTATAAGTGTAACAGGTTTATATTGAATTAACTGTTTTTAGGATTCTCAATTTACAGCAAAATTATTGACTCAGCTTTGTTTTACTTTAAATGAGCAATTTTATTAGATAGAATCAAACAATGGACTAGAACTCAAAAGATTGATTCTAATACTAGATCAATCTTTTGCGTAAGTATGCAAGTTATTTCTCCTCTTTGTGCCTTACTCTCTGTTTATAAAATGAGAATCATCAATCACTTTCTATTTCAACAGGAATGTTTCAAGTTTAAGGTATGTATCAGCCATCAAATGTTTTTTAAGCCTACTACATGCTTCACTTCCCAGCATTGTTTTAAATACTAAGGATACAGCATTAAATGAGACCCTTCCCTTAAGGAGCTTGCTTCTAAAGGAGTTGGGGGGCTCTAACTGGTTTGGCTCAGTGAATAAAGCCTCGGCCTGTGGACAGAAGGGTCCCAGGTTCCATTCTGGTCAAGGGCATGTACCATGGTTGCAGGCACATCCCTGTAGGGGGTGTGCAGGAGGCAGCTGATCGATGTTTCTCTCTCATTGATGTTTCAAACTCTCTATCCCTCTCCCTTCGTCTCTGTAAAAAATCAATAAAGATATATTTTTTAAAATAAAGGGGTGTAGAGCAGGCAATAAAGAAATAAGTAAGACAATATCAGCTGTTGAATAGAACTGAGAAGTCAATTAGTTTGCCCTAGATCCATGGTTGGCAAACTGCAGCTCGCAAGCCACATGTGGCTTTTTGGCACTTTGAGTGTGGCTCTTCCACAAAATACTGGGCGAGTCTATTTTGAAGAAGTGGCATTAGAAGAAGTTTAATTTTTAAAAAATCTGGCTCTCAAAAGAGATTTCAATTATTGTACTTTTGATATTTGGCTCTGATGACTAATGAGTTTGCTGAACACCACCATAGATGGTTTGGCTCAGCTGTAGAGTAAAGGGTTCCGGATTTGATTCTCATCAGTGCCTGGGTTGCAGGCTTGATCCCAATAGGGAGCAGGTAGGAGGCAACCGATCAATGGTTCTCTCTCATCATTGATGTTTCTATCTCTCTCCCCCTTTCCCTTCCTCTCTAAAATAAAAATGTAAATAAGTAAGTAAATAAATAAATAAATAAATAAATAGTGATGGGACAGGAGAGATACTTTAGCTAGGTACAAGAGCAGCATTTCTGTGAAGATTTTATTAAAACTAGAGGCCCAGTGCATGAAATTCTTGCACAGGGGGAGGGGGTGGTGGTGTCCCTCAGCCCAGCCTGCACCCTCTCCAATCTGGGGCCCTTCAAGGTATGTCCGACTGCCCGTTTGGACATCCCTCTCACAATCCAGGACTGCCAGCTCCCAACTGCTCGCCTGCCTGCCTTCCTGATTGCCCCTAATCACTTTGCCCGCCAGCCTGATCACCCCCTAAACACTCCCATGCCAGCCTGATTGATGTCTAACTGCTCCCCTGCCAGCCTGTTTGCCTCCTCTGCCGGCCTGGTCACCCCTAACTGCCTTCCCCTGCAGGGTTGATAGTCCCCAACCCTCCCTTGTAGGCCTGGTCCTTCCCAACTACCCTCCCCTGCTGGCCATCTTGTGGTGGCCATCTTGTGTCCACATGGGGGAAGTATCTTTGACCACATGGGGGCAGCCATCTTGTGTGTTGGAGTGATGGTCAATCTGCATATTAGTCTTTTATTAGATAGGATAGAGGTCTGGTACATGGGTGGGGGCCAGTTGTTTTGCCCTGAAGGGTGTCCCAGATCAGGGTGGGGGTTCCCTTGGGGTGTGGGGTGGCCTGGGCGAGGGGCCTGTGGTCATTTTCAGGCCAGCCATGTCCCTTGGCGACCCAAAAGGAGGCCCTGGTATCTTTCAATTGTAGAAGGAATTTATTTACCTTCTACAATTGAAACTTTGTAGCCTGGAGCAGATCCAAGCCTTCTGCTTGCTCCATGGCTGCCACCATTTCTGTTTGGATTTTTTACCTTCCATAATTGAAACTTTGTAGCCTTGAGTGGAGGCCTGGGCCTGCCAGGGTATGTGGAAAGCTTAGCTTCTTTCATTGCCAGAGAAACCCAAGCCTCCCTTCTGCTCTCTGTGGCCATAACCATATCGGTTGGGGTTAATTTGCATACTTGCTCTGATTGGCTGTTGGGCATGGCTGTTGGACATGGTTTATGGATGTAGTGGGGGGTATGGTCAATTTGCATAGTACTCTTTTATTCGATAAGATTAATTATTAAGGTGGCCAGTATGAAAAGAAATAGGGAGAAAAGAGCAGAAACAGAAGGTACACTAAATGAAGGTCTGGAGATAGGGATGAGCTTTCAGTCTTAGGACTTAAAATAAGGCCAGTGGCTGGAGCACAAAAAAATTAGGAGAAATTTACAGGAAGATAACATCAAAAGTTCAGCAAGGAACAGATGGGTCAATTCAAGGAGTTTGGATTTCATTCTATGTTAGGTGAGAATTCATTGGGGGATTTTTTCAGTTAGGGATTCACATGATTTTAAACTATTTTAGAAAAATCAAAATAACTGGCTTATGGAATAGCCTGGGACAAGAACAGAAGCAGAGAAACTAGTTATAAAGAAATGCCTACTACACAAGGCATAAGTTAGATATAGGGCAAAAATTTAAATTTTGAGTTAAGTTTCCATATAGTATGTAATTCTAATCAAATCACCATATAGAATTTTTTAATATGAGGTTTACATTTCTTTGCTAATCTAAAAAGACAAACATGAACATAATCTGGTATGCTAGCATGTAGTTTGTGTTGCTATTAAGTTTGTACTTAGTATCTCATCAGTGCCAAAGCAATTCCCTAGCTGGCAGAGTTAAATTTTTAATTAAGGATCTCAGGTTGAGAAATTCTACTCCAAACAATTTTGGGGATATAGTTGGGATAATTTCTATAAAAGATTAATCAGAATCAGCTGATCACAAAATATATCATTTTGGGGGATGAAAAAATAAGGAAAAAAAATATGATAAAAGTGTGTTATGCCTCTTTCTTTCATAGTTATAATAAATAAAAGTAATGAAAATTAAAAAATATGTGCATTTTGCTATACATAGTATTTTTAATACAGATTTTCCAGAAATAATTGTAAGCTTAAAGAAAACCTTGGTATGGTTTTTTGATTTATCATCATTTTACTATATTTGTAGATAAGTTACTTTTATCCTATCTAATAAAGAAGGAATATGCTAATTGACCCTCATGCGGTCGCAAAGATGGTGATTCCACAGCCAATAAGGAAGGAATAGGCTAATTGACTTCCCTGCCCTCAAAGATTGCGGCACCCACAGCCAATAAGAAGGGAATATGCTAATTGACCACCACACCCTTAAAGGTGGCAGCACCCACAGCCACAAGATGGTGGTGCCCAGTCCCCTCAGCCTCCCAACCCCTCAGGCCCAGCCAGAGGCAAAGCAAGCCTTGGATGGTGGCTGCCTAGCCACCCAGGGCCGGCCGAAGGGATGACCAAACAATTGAACAAGTGGGCCGTGTGGGGTGACCAGGTTGGCGGGGGAGCCATGAAAGACAACCAGGCTGGCAAGGGGGACAGTTGAGGGTAACAAGGCCAGTGGAGGGGGGGGGCAGTTGAGGGCAACCAGGCCAGTGGGGGGCAGTTGGGGGGACCAGGTTGGTGGGGGTGTGCATTTGGGGGCAACCAAACCAGTATGGGGGGCTGTTAGGGGACAAGTAGGGTGGCAGCGGGGGGAGAAGGGGCAGTGAGGGTGACTAGGCCGACCAGGGGGGGAATTGGGGGCTACAAGGTTGGCAGGGGGGGCAGTTAGGGGCGACCAGGCTGGTGGGAGGGGGCAGTTAGGAGCAACAAGGCTGGCAGGGAGGGGGCAGTTGAGGGCGAACAGGCCAGCTCACAGAAGCAGTGAGGGGTAATCAGGCAGTTAGGGGCGACCAGGCTGGTGGGAGGGGGTAGTTAGGAGCAACAAGGCTGGTGGAGAGGGGGCAGTTGGGGGCTACCAGGCCAGTACGTAGAGGCAATGAGGGATGACAGGCTAGCAGTGGGGAAACTTAGGGACGACCAGGTAGGCAGGCAGGTTAGAAATTAGGAGCCAGTGATCCAGGATTGTGAGAGGGATCCCAGATTGGAGAGAGTGCAGGCTGGGCTGAGGGGAACCCTACCCCCTCATCCCTGCCATGTTTGAATTTCATGCACTAGGCCTCTAGTTATTTAATAAACATTTTGCTCTTAGCTCTGATTTTCTCAGGGAGGAAGTGGAAGGGAATAGAAGAGTTTAAATAACTATAGGGTCCTTTCCAGTGTTAAAAGTTTAATCTTTTAGTCAGACTCACACTATATATAGCCTTTGCTTTATTTATAGCCTGTGATAGTTGGAAGGAAAAATACTTTGAAACAAAGGAAGTCACAGCATCATTGGAAGAAGTTTTAACAAAACATCGAGAAGATTTAGAACTCTATTATAAAAAAGTGCTCCTGCAACTTGAAGCCAGGGAGGTCAATATGAAACCAAAGAATACGGCAAACACCACAGACTCTAAGGTGCTACTAAATGTGTTTACATTCTATTAGAGAAGTTCTATTCAAAATATTTGCTCTATAATTGTTAGTATTATTATATTTAAGATGATTTGGGCTATAAGTCTAGTAAAACAAATCTTGACTTGTTAACAATAAGAAAATTCATGATCTTATGTAATGGGAGCTAAGGAGATACAATAAGCAGCTTAATAATGTCTTTAAGAGCCTAAGTGCTTCTGGTATTTCCTCACTATTTTTGAGTGTTGGTTTCCTTTCAAGTCTGCTTTTTCCCATAGTAGTAATAGAATTGCCAATGGCAAGGAAGGCTATATACCTCCAAACCAAGAGAGAACTTCTTCCAAACACAATGGGATATATAAAACTTTCCCTTTAGCTTGGTGGGAGATAACAAACCTACTGTGGACTGATAATACCTACTAGGGAATGCTATGTGCTGACTTAGGCCAATTATGAACAACTCTGTACCTGAAGGTAGGGCCACTTTCTATTATTGTATGGGAGATGAGCACATGGTGAAATATAGTATGGACAAATAGTATTTACTACATTTCTTTTTTTATGTGTGGGGAGGTTAATAATATTCATGGAATCTAAAATTGTATTTCTAAAGAAAATATTGAATAATATTGCATTTTGTCCATTTATTTTTTCTGAAGATGATCTTGAATATAGAAAAACCAGAGACATGAAGTTTATTTTTTTAAATATATTTTTATTGATTTCAGAGAGGAAGAAAGAGGGAGAAAGATCATAGAAACATCAATGATGAGAGAATCATTGATTGGCTGCCTCCTGCATGTGCCCTAACTAGGACTCAAACTGTGACCTACTGCTTCATAGGTTGATGCTCAATCACTGTTTTTTATATGTTAATATCACGATTAAGAGTATGGAGTTAGACTTGATGAAATATTAAATTTCTTAATTTATATCTTCCCAGTTTAATCAAGATATAATTGACATATAACATTATATTGGTTTGAGGTATATAACACAATGGTTTGATATATGTATATACTGTGAAAAGATTACCACAATAAGTCTAGTTTACATCTATCATCACACAGTTACATTTTTCTTGTAATTATAACTTTTAAGGCCTATTCTCTTAGCAACTTTCAAATATACAACCCAGTATTGTTAATTATAATTACATGTTGTACATTACATCCCCATAACTTATTTATCTTATAAGTAGAAATTTGTACCTCCTGGTCCCTCTCCTATTTCCTTTCTCCTCCATGCCTGGCAACCACCAATGTGTTTCTCTAAGTAAAAGTGTAGTGTTTTAGATAAATTTAAAATATAAAATCCAAATAGTCTCAAGTAATGCTTTATCCATATAAGCAGATACTTTTCTTTATCATAACTGATACTTTTTGTCTTAAATATCGATATATAGAGTATTTTTTCACAAAGGCAGCTTGAATTTTTAAATAATTTCTTTGCTGACCATTATACCTCATAAACTTTTTGAACAAAAGTAATAAAAATATTTCTTACATTAAATAAGTGTTCTTGAATTAAATAAATTTTCTTATATAAAATATGATTTTATTATTAAATATATTAATTCTAATCTCATTCAGATAGCAAAGCATTATGCCAATCTCTAAAGCCTTGCTAATATCTTAAACTCAGCATATTCCTTTCATATTAATAATCATTGGTATTTGTGGTACTAATTTAATAATAAATTTTATAAATATTTATTTATTTATTTATTATTTTATAATACATGAATGATGGTAGTAGAACAAAAGAGAAAGCAGTCCCTAAAACTGAAGAAATCTACAGATTAATAGTAACTTAATCCAAAGCAATAAGTTTATTTTATGGAATAGGTCATTTTTATGATTTGCTTCTTTGGTTTTTGTTATCACATGGTAGTTTATGTTAGCAAGGCAGTTAAAAATAAAAATGCATAGGTGTTATCCTTAATAAAGATATCTTACTATACCTCATACAGAATTCCCTTATAATCCAGATCACTGAAGTACAGCATGAAATTGACCAACTTAAGAAAAAATTAGTTATTGAGAAAATGAAGCACATCATAGAAGCTAAGGTAATTTGCATTTCTCCTGATTATAACATTTATCTTGAAACAATTTTGGTGTTTTAATTTTGGATTTTGCCCTACCCAGTTTGGCTCAGTGGATAGAGCATTCATTGCCTGCAGACTAAAGGGTTTGATTCTGGTCAAGAGCATGTACCTTGGTTGCAAGCTTGATCCCTGGCTCTGGTTGGGGTGCACGCAGGAAACAACCAATCAAAGTGTCTCTATCTCTGTCTCCCAGCTCCCTGCCACTACCTCTAAAAAATCTATGGAAAAATACCCTCGGGTGAGGATTAACCAAAACAAACAAAAAACAAAAAAAGTTGGGTGTCAATAGCATAAGGATAGTAAGGATTGACTCTTTTATTAATATTATTATTATTATTATTATTATTATTATTATTATTTTAATCCTCACCTAAGGATGTTCTTCCATTTATTTTTAGAGAGAGTGGAAAAGGGAGGAAAAGACAGAGAAAAATATCCATGGGAGAGAAACACATTAATTGGTTGCCTCCTGCTCACACCCAGACTGCAACCGAGGTATGTGCCCTTGACCGTGCCTTTGACCAGAATCAAACCCTTTGGTTTGATTATATCATTTTTGTATATATTAACCCAATATCACTCATTTATGTTTGATTTTAACTCATATTAGAATTACAAGGTATGTGCCCTTGACCGTGCCTTTGACCAGAATCAAACCCTTTGGTCTACAGGCCAGCGTTCTATCCCTGAGCCAAACTAGCTAAGGCAAAGTTTGACTCTTTTACAATTGTTACCTTAACAACAAAGAGCACATGTGAAAAAAATTTAAGAATAACAACTAAATCCTGAAAAGATGCATATTATATCAAGTTCAGAGTAAAATTTGTAAAGTTCCAGTAAGAATTAAAGGGAAAGGATCTTGTGCATTAATACAAAGGCTCAGTAAAATATTTTAAAAGAAATAGTTTTCATATAATAGAGTCACTCATAAATAAGTCTGACAAACCAGTGAGCTTTCTGAGCTCCCATTTAATGTTTTCCCCCTCTCATGGGTAATTATCTCACTCTCTCTGGTTATTTTCATTTGTATACTTATATAAATGCTCTCAATTCACCTCTTTATCAGAAATTTGCTTTATAACAGAATAATGGTCCCTTTCCAGAATTAGCAATGATGGACATGTTCTAACTCTACTCTGTCTGATATGGTAGTCACTAAGCCTGGAAGGATATCGAGCACTTGAACTGTAGCTTGTGGGTGACTAGGGAATTGAATTTTAAATTTTATTTAACTTGGGTTAATTTAAGTAGCTACATTTGGCAAATGGTTCTAGATTCTTTTCACTACCAGCAATCTCAAGGCTAATTCTTGGCTCAGCATTGAGGAGCTTAAAACTTAAAACACAGAAAAGGGAAAGGGCAAAGAACCATTTTTAACAATCCTCTCTAATAAAAGAGAAACATGCAAATTGACTGTACCTTTGCTACACCCACAAGCCATGCCCACCAGCCAATGCAAATTAATCCAACCAAGATGGCTGTTAATTTGCATATCCAGGCCAGACTGAAGACTGAGACAGTGTAGAAAGAAGCCAAGTGCTGCAGAAGGGAGCGAAGGTGCGGAGAAGGAAGGGAAGCAGGCTGGGCAGGGAGAAGGGAGAGAAGCCAGCAGGGCTGTGGAGACCACAGCAGGAAGCCCTATTGCAGGAATCTTCCTGCAAGGGGTCTCTAGTATATGAATATTTAGCATTCTTTTTTTTTTTTTTAATATATTTTATTGATTTTGTACAGAGAGGAAGGGAGAGAGAGAGAAAGTTAGAAACATCGATGAGAGAGAGTCATCGATCAGCTGCCTCTTGCACACCCCCTACTGGGGATATGCCCACAACCAAGGTACATGCCCTTGACCGGAATCGAACCCTGGACCTTTCAGTCCCCAAGCTGACGCTCTATCCATTGAGCCAAACTGGTTTCGGCAATATTTAGCATTCTTATATAGTATGTGTACACACACACACACACACACACACACACACACACACACAATTTGTTCAATTAATGAAAACTATTCAAAAAAGGAGAAAAAAAACCAGTTTGGAAACTTTCACACTTAAGGATAGTTGTGTGAGTAAAAAACTAATAGAAATGCCTCCAGAGCCTTCATTCATATGTCTCAATGCTCTTTTCTTTTGGGAAGCATACCCATTAGATTATATCATTTTTGTATATATTAACCCAATATCACTCATTTATGTTTGATTTTAACTCATATGAGAATTACTAGAACAAAAAGCAGGAAAGACTAAGAGGAAAAAGAGAACCAAATTTTGAGTTTACGGATTGTGGGAAGAAAAAATTCTATGTTTAACTATAGTGCTTAATAGTACATAGTAAACATCATTATTATTTATTATTGAATAGAGGCCCAGTCGATGAAATTCATGCACGGGGTGGGGGTGTCCCTCAGCCCAGCCTGCACCCTCTCCAGTCTGGGATCCCTCTCACAATCCAGGACTGCTGGCTTTGAACTGCTCACCTGCCTGCCTGCCTGAGTGCCCCTTACCACTCCCCTGACAGCCTGATTGATGCCTAACTGCTCCCCTGCCAGCCCAATTGTTCCTAACTGCTCTTTCCTGCAGGCCTGGTCAACCCCAACTGCCCTCCCCTGCTGGCCCAGTCACCCCTAACTTCCCTCTCCTGCCAGTCTGGTTGCCCCAACTGCCCTCTCCTGCCAGCCTGGTCACCCCTAACTGCCCTCCCTTGCCAGCCTGGTTGCCCCTAACTGTCCTCACCTGCAGGCCTGGTCTACCCCAGCTGCCTTCCCCTGCTGGCTTGGTCACCCCCAACTGCCCTCCTCTGCCAGCCATCTTGTGTCCACATGGGACAGCCATCTTTGACCACATGGAGGTGGCCATCTTGTGTGTTGGAGTGATGGTCAATTTGCATATTCCCTCTTTATTATATAGGATTTCTGAATAATTTACCTGGAAGATTTACAATTAAGGGGTAGAAAACCTACTCTGAGTTTGTTGCAACCATATTCAAGTTAGAATAGCATAAGCACTGCTTCTCAAAGTTTAGCGTGAGACTATCTGGATAGAGCTGGGGTGAAGCCTGGGATTCTTCGTTCCTAAGAAGCTCCAGGTGATGTGAATGCCTTGGTCCACAGACTATACATAGAAGAGTAAGGGTAATGGCACCAGATGATTTAAGTTTGAATCCTAGCTGCATCACTAACTGGAGTGAGTTACTTAACTTCTAGGCATCTCCATTTGCCCAGCTGTAAAAATGCAGATAGTAATAGTATCTGCCTTGATTCAATTTTTGATAGAATCAAGGAAGTTAATCCATTTAGAAGAGTGCTTGCCACAGAATAACACTATTGTATTGCTTAAGTACCTGTTCAGTTTCTCAGGGCTGGGACTTATGTTTTTGTTTTTGTTTTTTACTACCTCTTCCTGAGAACAGATTTTGAAGCTCCAGCAAAAGATAAAAATATTTTTCTCTCTAATTTTTAGAACAGTTTAATCCTATTATGACTATATTCTAATAAATAAAATTATTTGATAGTTTATCCAACAGTAAATAAGCATGCTTATTCAATAGGACTTTAGATCTATATATATTTAATATATTAATCCAGTGGAAGTATTGAAGTTAACTTATAAAAAAAAGCCACACCTTTATTTAAATGACAATTATATAATTTTTGATGAGTAAATTGAAATTCAACTTTTAAAGATAATTTGTTTTATAGATGAGAAGACAAGCAATTTCAGATGTAGGCATACTGAAAGCTGAACTCACAGAATAAAATTGATACATCTTTACAGCTGTTAGGTATGTTAATTTAAAACTTTTATTTGTCAAAAATATTAAATATTTATTTGGTCCGATTTGTTAAAACTTTGTCCTCCTTGGCAATGTTTTATGTAAATCATAAGGTTTATGTTTTTCACCAAATCCTTTAGTACAGTGGTTGGCAAACTCATTAGTCAACAGAGCCAAATATCAACAGTACAATGATTGAAATTTCTTTTGAGAGCCAAATTTTTTAAACTTAAACTTCTTCTAACGCCACTTCTTCAAAATAGACTTGCCCAGGCCGTGGTATTTTGTGGAAGAGCCACACACAAGGGGCCAAAGAGCTACATGTGGCTGTGATCCACAGTTTGCCAACCACGGCTTTAGTATTACAAAGGATTTTTGGAAATATTAGATGTATAAAAGTAAAATGGTGTCTCTTTAGCTATTTTTGATGGTTTCAAATCTATTGCATATTATTTGAAAATTTTATATTTTATAATTTTTAAATAGTTTTAAAATTTAATATGACTGTAAAATGTAATTTAAAATCATAGTTTAGTACATATGAATATATTTACATATAAATCAATATTGTTTAATTTATTCATTGTATTTTAGTTGAAAGCAATCTGGAAATAGAATAGGAATATTGAATTTGCATTCAGAGCTATGACAGAGCTTAATGTCTAAGAATTTAAATTATTTTAGTAATTTGTTTTAGAAATATAAAGATATTAGAAATTCAGCATATTATACGAAAAATGGTTAGTCTTACTCTGCCATAATAATTGTGTAAATAGGAAATGGAATATTCTAATAACGGATAACTTAATCATCATGTATTATATTTCCATTTAGAGGAGAAAAATGTGCAGAAAATGCAGGATTTGTAAGTCCAGAGTTCAAGGATGCAGTCTTTTAATCTAAGTATTTTTAGGAACTAATATACTAGTAAGTGCAACATAGGGTTCTCAATTGCTTTGAGAAAAATAATAGAGACTTCTGTACATTTAGAAAGGTTCTTAGCACAAAATTTCTCTTTTAGCCTGGTTGGTGTGGTTTAGTGGTTAAGCGTTGATCCACACACCAACAGGTTGCTGCTTTGATCCCATCAGGACACACGACAGGGTTTCAAGCTTGATCCCCAGTAGGGGGCATGCATGAGGCAGATGATTGATGATGTTTCTCTCTCATCAACGTTTCTATCTCTCCCTTCCCCTTCCACACACTCTAAAAATCAATAAAAATATTTTTTAAAGATATTTCTTTTTTAGAAAAAAAAAAAAACTACTTGAGAAAACAATGTCTTTAGATAATTAAAATGCAGATAAAGAAAAAGGAAAATCTATCCATAAAAAGAAAACTAACCAAGAAACAAAGTATAGATGTCCATAATGGAGGAATTTTAATAATTAGAACATTAAAATTATAATTATAATTGTAAATAATTTACAATAATAATTGTAAATGAAAATGGGTAGAATTAGGTTCACAGCAAGTTTTCCTATTATAAAATATCAGAAATAGCCACATTAAAAATTTAGTTGGAAAATAATAGGTAGGTCTAATTTTAAATATTACTAAATTATCTTATTATTTTTTTTAGTATTTTAATAATTCATATATATACTTTTTCCCTCTGGAAGTTTGAGTTTAATTCATAAGCCTCAGAGGACATGAGTACTATATAAAGTCAGGGAGCAGGAAAATTATTTCCAATAGTTAAATGAACCTAAACAAGAGAATGAATTGCAGGATTTAAGTTTAGATTTATTGAAATAAACAAGTATAAAGGAAACTAGCCTAAACTAGACTAGGCTTTACAAAAATCTCTTCTAAGTAAACATTTCCACTTCAAATTATACATATTTAAAAACTAGCATTTATTTGTTAGCATATATTTTAATATTAGGGGGAGATTTTAGCATAAAATTCTGAAAGCAAGTGTTCTTAATTATAGTATTAAAGCATCTTATAGAGGAATATTTAATACTAGAGGCCCCATGCCTGAAATTCATGCACTTGTGGGGGGGTGTCCCTCAGCCCAGCCTACACTCTCGCCAGTCTGGAACCCCTCGTTGGACATCCCTCTCACAATCCGGGACTGCTGGTTCCCAACCACTTGCCTGTCTGCCTGCCTGACTGCCCCTAACTGCTTCTGCCTGCCAGACTGATCACCCCTAACCACTCCCCTGCCAGCCTGATCAATGCCTAACTGTTCCACTGCTGGCCCGATTGCCCCTAACTGCCCTCCCCTGCAGGCCTGGTCTCCCATAACTATCCTCGCTCCCTCCCCTGTAGGCCTGGTCCCTCCTATTGGCTCAGTCACCCCTAAATGCCCACACCTGCCAGCCCAGTCGCCCCCAACTGTCCTCTCCTGCTGGCTTGATCCCTCACAACTGCCCTCCCCTGCTGGCTAAATTGTGGTGGCCATCTTGTCACCACATGGGGGTGGCCATCTTGTGACCATTTGGGGGCACCATCTTGTGTGAAGGTGTGAGGGTGATATTTGCATATTACCTCTTTATTATATAGGATAGTAAATACATTTGTTTCTTACCTTTATGTTTCCAGACACTGAAATATATATCTATATTTATTATCTACATAATTTATAATTCCACATACAAAGCATCACTTTATCTGTTTTATTAATATACTAATAAGTAACATATACAGCCATATGACAAAAATGCATAAATTTTCATCTCTTCAAGAAACTATATCTGTTTGTACAGATCTTTTTCAAATCTTAGTAGTTTGACAAAAGATGTTCACAGCTTTGGTTTTAAGGCTTCCCACATTTCTTCTGTTTGCTGTTTGGCTACAGCATCTCCAGAGTAGTCAAGACAGTTTGCATTCCACATGCCAATGCCCCGTAAGCCCCAGGTTTGTATATATGCTGTCTTTAAAGAAATGCTCTTCGGATTATCATACCACACTTGATGAAAATGGCCAGCAGGGTCCTATACAAATAAATGAAAGTGGAAATTTTACGTATTCAGTGCAATAAGAGGGAAAACATTTCTAAATTTCAAGGATTCAAAAAGGATACAATCCTACCTAATAAAAGAGTAATATGCAAATTAACCACCACTCGCTACACCCACAAGCCACTCCCAACAGCCACGCCCACCAAACAGAGTGAGTATGCAAATTAACCTCAACTAAGATGGCTGCCGCCACAGAGAGCAGGAGGGAGGCTTGGGTTTCCCCCACAATAGAGGGAGCCAAGCTTTTCACACATCCTGGCGGGTCCAGGCCTCCACTCAAGGGTACTAAGTTTCAATTATAGAAGATAAATCCCAAGAAAAATGATGCAACCACGGAGCTGGTAAGAGCAGGCTAGGGTTCCCATGGTGACAGAGGAAGCTAAATTTTTCACCTGTCCTGGCTGACCTAGGCCTCCACTCCAGGCTACAAAGTTTCAATTGTAGAAGATAAATATATCCCAGATACTAGGGCCTCCACTTGGTCACCAGGGGGCATGGCCAGCCTGCAAACCATCACAGGCCCCTCGCCCAGGCCACCCCATGCTCCAAGGGAACCCCCACTCTGATCTGGCAAACCAGTTGGCCCCCACCCATGCACCAGACCTCTATCCTATCTAATAAATGAGTAATATGCAGATTGACTATTGCTCCAACACACAAGATGGCTGCCCCCTTGTGGTTAAAGATCCTGCCCCCATGTGGACACATTATGGCCACCACAAATGGCCAGTGGGGGAGGGCAGTTGGGGGGGACCAGGCCTGCAAGGGAGGGCAGTTGGGGGCAATCAACCCTGCAGGGGAGGGCAGTTAGGGGTGACCAGGCCGGCAGAGGAGGGAAGTTGGGGGCAAAGAGAATGGCAGGGGGGCAGTTAGACATCAATCAGGCTGGCAGGGCAATGGTAGGGGGTGATCAGGCTGGCAGGTGTAAGTGGTTAGGGGCAATCAGGAAGGCAGTTGGGAACCAGCAGTCCTGGATTAGAGAGGGTGCAGGCTGGGCTGAGGGATACTACACCCCGCTCCATATCTCCCCCCCCCCCCACCATGCACGAATTTCATGCACTGGGCCTCTAGTGAAATAATAAAAATGTAAGGGCACATCACCTTCTGGCACTATGATTGCATGGCTCTGTATGTGATACTTGGTAGATATCATTGCTTGTGGCATTTTTACAATGGCAGAGATTATACAAATAGGCCTCCTAATAGCTTCCATTTAAGGTCTTCTCATGCCCTAAGATTCCTTCTTTGCCCTGATCTGATGATTATCAACCAATATGTATATCTGAGTCACTTGTGGAGTTTTTAAGAGTACAGATTTCAGTTAATTTGTTTGACTGAATTAAAACCTTCCAGGACTAGTGCTCTGATATGTATTTGTTTGTTTTTGTTCTGTGTTCCTTTAGGTAATTGTGATATTCAGGCGAGGCTAAGGAGGATCGCTGCTGTGGTTCTCTGATACCAGCTTATACACTTTTTTATATTCCCTACAGTTTCTAGAAGCATGCCTAGTTAGGACCTCAACAGATGCTTTTGTTTATGATGCATTAGTTAAATCAAGAGGAATGGCAATAGGCAAGGAAAGTAACTTCTTTTCTAAGTCTTACTGAATTGATCTAAGAGCCTGTAAGGTCTGGACTCCATGGGTGCCTTATGCACACATCTGATGAAAACCATAAACTAGAAAGTGGCCACCACAAATGGCCAGTGGGGGAGGGCAGTTGGGGGGGACCAGGCCTGCAAGGGAGGGCAGTTGGGGGCAATCAACCCTGCAGGGGAGGGCAGTTAAGGGTGAAGTCCTATCTTGTGAAGTCCTTCTCCCCATAACACATGTCTCTAGCACTGACAGTCTTTCTCTCTTAGAAGGTATATCATTTATTAAATAAAGGAGAGAGAAAATGAGCAGATCTAGGCAAAAGGGTAAAAGAAGGGGGGAAATAGGAGGTAAAAATAGAATGACCTGTGGTTAAAAATAATTTACTGATTTTATTTACATCTTGGGAAAATTTTAAAGGCAGTTTTCAACTAAATCAATGCTGATAACTTTTTTTTAAACAATATATTTTATTGATTTTTTTACAGGGAGGAAGGGAGAGAGATAGAGAGTTAGAAACGTCAATGAGAGAGAAACATTGATCAGCTGCCTCCTGCACACTTCCCACTGGGTATATGCCTGCAACCAAGGTACATGCCCTTGACTGGAATCAAACCCGGGACTCTTGAGTCCACAGGTGGACGCTCTATCCACTGAGAAAAACTGGCTAGGGCGCAATTATTTAAAAAAATAAATAAATTTTAGGCAGAGGGAGGGAGGGAAGGAGGGAGACATCAATGTGAGAAACACTGACTAATTGTTTCCTGCACACTCCCCAACCAGAGATCAAATCCACAACCTGAGTATGTGTCCTGACTGGAAACCAAACCCACACCTTTTTGTGCACAAGATAACATTCCAACTGACTGAGCCACACTGGCCAGGACATGCACTGTAATTCTCAACCAGACTGTCCCTTTTCTTAGAGGTGCGGGGGGAGCTCAAGATTGGTTTATACATTTTTTAAAAATGATAGCACCACTGAAATTAGAATAGTCTCCTAAAATAACTTCTTTGAAGGACAATAGTCACTGGTAAATAAATAAGCTATGGTGTATTGAAGTATAATAGATTACTTACAAGCATGTCTTATACTATATCTTATATTCTGTACTTTCAGATATTTAGATCTAGTAACATTTGTAATTCACAATTAAAAGACAACTAGAAGAACTTGTACCTAAATATAGAAATATTTATTTTTGAAGATTTAGGAGCAAATCCAAATACCTTTGAATTTGCCATCATTCTAACTAGTACTTTGAGCCTTTTTGACACTGTTAAGAAATTTCAAGTGCCTCAAAATAGTGAAGAATCGCCGAAACCAGTTTGGCTTAGTGGATAGAGTGTTGGTCTGCAGACTGAAAGGTCTCAGGTTGGATTCTGGTCAAGGGCATGTACATTGGTTGAGGGCACATCCCCAATGGGGGTGTGCAGGAGACAGCTGGTCGATATCTCTCTCACCTATGTTTCTAGCTCTCTATCCCTCTCCCTTCCTCTCTGTTAAAAAAAAAAAAAAAAAAAAAAAAAACCAATAAAATATATTTTAAAAAAATAGTGAAGGATCAAAGGATGAAAAACTGAATGCATGTAGGAGTGATATATGCATGATTCAGGCATAAATGCTTTAAAAAATATTGAGTAGCAAGATGAAGCAGCTATTGCCGAGTAGCATAAAAAAGAGGAGACTCTCTTCAGTCACATCAGAAACTTGATTTTGGTTGTTGCTAATTTTACAATCAACAAAAAGAGGAACAAAAGCAGTATGACTAGATTGTTGTCTAAAGTGCCATGGAATTAATGGTCTTCAAGGCTCTTCAGAATGTATTCTGAATTTTGAGATCTAAAAGAATGTGTCTTCTTATTCATTACAGAAAAAAAAGACAGATTCAAAACACTACATCACAGCATCAACTATTATTCTGCATTACATATTTCTAAATTATGTGTAATTGGTTAATGCAGTCTTTACAAGACATATCCTTGAAACACTCTTCCCCCTCCATGTTCCTAAGAGTGTTAGGAACAAGGTTCTATGTTTTAAAAAATGACGTATGTACTGCAGCACTTCTCAAATCCTTTCTTATAATATACATTTTAAATCTCCAGGAGGGACATACAGTATGCATTGTTTTCCAAATTTATTTGGCCAGTGTGTGTGTGTGTGTGTGTGTGTGTGTGTGTGTGTGAGTGTGTGTGAGTGTGTGTGTGATGTGTGAAATATTAACAGTTTCTAGAACAAGGTTCTATAAATACTGTTTGGCAAAGGCAAGGTTACAGTATACCAAAGCTTAATTACTAGGTATGCACACTAGACTCTAAAGTTTAGAAAACTCTACAGTAAAGTTTTCTACATAGTCAATATATAGGCATGTATAGATATAAATCCATTATAATTTGTTAAATATGTATGTTTGCAATCATTTTTTTAAAAAAGGTTATCAGACCATTAGTTAAAAATAGATATTCTTACTGGAATTAATTTACATCATATCTTTTTAGG